AGCCATTTATCTCTCCACCCTTCATTTAACCCCACATGTGTTTATCGGCCAGGTGGGCACAATAAACTGACTACCTCAGAGTTAAAAACCAAATATGAAGTGAAAGTAGAAGAACCAAATATGGGAGGTAGAAGAATGGTGGCGAACCTAGGAAGAGGAAAGTTACAGGGTTACAATAAGAAAAAACAAAAAAACAGGAATTTTAGTATGTTAGGGGACTATACATATGAAGGCTTTAAGAAGCCTAATAAGAATAAAAATGAGAATAATGAATATTTATTGAGTATATATAATATGCTAGGTATTCCAGCTACTTACATATGCTCTCCTTATTGCCATTTTGTAAGGATTGTTGTTTGGTGCCCTGTCAGTTCCTATTATAGTGTAGTGTAGTTGTAGTACACAGAATGAAAAATGGTCCTGCATTGTCTTCATAGTTGTTCCTGTGTTTGAGCCCATTGTTGTAGCGGTTGTGTCAATCCATCTCATTGGAGGTCTTTCTTTTTTTGTCTTCCTTCTACTTTACCAAGAGTGATGTTCTTCTCCAGGACTAGGCTGTCCTGATAATTGTCCAAAGTACAAGAGACAAAGTCTACCATCCTTCCTTGTAAGGGCATTCCAAGATTGACCTGTGCTCTTCTGGCCTTCTGTGGTACTTTCCATATTCTTTACCAGCACCATAATTCAAATGCATCAAATCTTTTTTTTGGTTCTTCCTTATTGTTCAATTTTTACATTTATAGGAGGCTTTGCAAATTACCTTGGCTTGGGTAAGGCTCAATTTAGTGCTCAAAGTGACATCCTTTCTTGTTCTTTAACATTTTGAAGTGGTCTTGTGTGTCAGATTTACATTTAGTTTCTTAACTGCTGCTTCCAGGAACATTGATTATGAATCCAAGTAAGAAGACATTCTTGACAATTTTAATCTTTTTTCTGTTTATCATGATATTATCTGTTGGTCCAGTTGTGAAGAGTTTACTTTCCTTTACATGGAATTGCAATCTGCCTTGAAGCCTGTCGGCCCTGGTCTCCAGCAACAGTCCTTCAGGGCTTTCTCCCTTTAAGCCACCCACTTGGAGCCCAAGACACCACCAGGATTCCTTGTCTGTACGATATTGCTGTTAGATGTCTGTGAGTTAGTTCTGATGCACAGTGACCCTATCCATAGTAGAACAGAACACTGCCTGGTCCTGCACCATCCTCAGAGTTGCTCCTATGTCTGAGCCCATTGTTGCAGCCACTGAATAAGTCCATCTTGTTGAAGGCCTGCCTAGTTCTTACTGCCCCTCTACTGTACCAAACATGACATCCCATTTCTCAGGCAAGAAAATTGAAGCAGAGAAAATTGAAGCAAGTTGCCTAAGGGTATACATCTAATAGATAGTAGGATTGACATTCAAATCCAGGTTTGCTGATACCAGACACTATGTTTTTAATCTTTATAAAACCACCCTAATGCTACCAAAGCTGTAAGTTCTGTATGTTGTCTGTTAAAGCCAAACCAAACGGACTATTATTGAGTCAAATCTGATTCTTCTTGACCCTAAACAGGGTGTCTATGATTGCAAAGCAGATAGCTTCATCATTGTCCCAAGGAGCAGTTGGTGGCTTTGAACCACTGACCCTGTGGTTAGAAGCCCAGCGCCGAACTTAAATGGTGTCTGTGAGAAATAAAGTTGCTGCTGTAGGGAGACATCAATAATAAGAATGCTTACCTTATAGAACTTCCTATCTTTAAGGCTGGTGAAACAAGACCTAATTTATTTTGGGAATCAAGAAAAGTGGGACTGCACATCACATGTTTCAGTGATGTAACGTTCTGATCATATCACAGAACATAAATCAGTTTTATTGCTCAATGCAGGACTCTCAAAAAGATCATCACAGTTTAGTTTTCAAAAGGACTGTATTTTTAAAAAAAGGTCAGAGGCAAAAATTAAAAAAAATAAGGATGTGTCGCTTGATAGGAATGCAAATTTTACAAAGCTTGGATGTTCTATCCACAAAAAAAGAAGAGAGAGATAAAATGGCTTGCTTTATCCAGAAACTCCAGACATTGGGAGGGGTGGCGGGAGAGCAAATAGCAAAAAAGGAAAGAAACAGATATTATGAGCAAAATTATGTTGTAAGGATGACCGTAAAGATTGGCCCCAAACATGCTCCATCCATGTGCTAAGTGAAGTTTAGTAAAAGATAACAAAGTTTCTTTTACAGTTTAGTAGTAGATAACACAGCAAACCCACTTCTGCTTCATATCACTAGCTGGGGTTCCTGCTGTGTCTCATTTCCATACACCACAGATGGTTAACCTTGAGCAGTAAAAAGGGGAGCTGGAACTTTGACATAATAAAACATTGATAGTTAAAAATGGCCTATTAGAGAGCTTATCATAAAAGGAAAATTATGCTCTGGTAGTCCAGATGGCTGCACTTCTTTCTCTAGCAGCATGAAGACCGTGAAATGTACTCCAAACTATGCACTGTTCTTACGATCCCAGCTATAAATTCTACCAAAGCTGCCTTGTTTTTCTCTCAGTGATAGAGGCTTCTGGTACTTTTTGGACATTTACCTGATCTTTATAGTCTACACTAAGAATCTTACTGTATTTTAAACTCACTGAGAAGACCCCATGATTGAAACCTCAGATCTTAACTCTAACTTCTCCCAGTACAAGG